TTACATTGTGTCTGGCCCAGAATAGTTTACCAAGTACAGTACTATTTTGCAAATTACTGCTTAGACTTTCTGCAGGTGACAAATAAAACCAGAGTTTTCAAAGAAGGAAAAGCAACAAGGATTTATTGAATAATACGGCTTAATATGTGGTACGGCTCAATGTATCCCCTTCCATAAAAGAATATTAAGCATTCACTGAACTTTCTTTTGTGTTTATTTGAAACAAATATATTAGACCTTATGAAAGAGTGAGGAGAACTCATTAATTCTTTTCTATTAATACATTTTAAAATATCCTAAATATTATTCTGCTTCCTGGATTTTGATACCCTGATACCTTTGTTCACAGTCAGCAGTGTTATCAACTGCATGATAAATTGATCACTTACACATATTTTCCAGCCTCTGATAAATCATATACTTGAAATATATCTCAATGTAATCTGTGTGTTGGACAGGAAAACTGTACTCAAGTGATGTGAATGGATATTCTTTATCCACTGGTTAAAAGAGAAAAAAATCAATTTCCATCATTATCACCAGAATTATGCTCAGAGAACCAATTCTAAGGATGAGAAGATAGATCTATGCTCCACATCCTTGGAAGGATAGATATTGAACACTGGTTAGATGACCACTGTGTTTGTGTGACTTAAGTTGTAGTCCATATATATTTCTCTAGAGATTGATAATGTGGATGTTGTTCTTCAGGACCCTCTCTTAAACCCATTCAGAAAAGACAGATTAAAGATTGCAATTACCACATCCAGTTTCCTTCATGTCCTCTATGTATTAACTTTCTACTATCTCCTCCTTGAATTTATAAACATCCGCAGAGAAAAACTTGACTTTAGCACTGAAGTCCCAGCTGAATTAATCCATGGTGCATGCTGAAAATTTTTTATCATGGGAAATATTTACCATCTGTGCTGCAAGTAGTAATTTAAAATAAATGTGATATTGTTTCTTTATACACACACCATAATAAAAATATAGGAACAGTTTTTAAAATGATATGTAAGAGACAGAACAAAGATTGAATTGCAAAATAGTAATAACTTCAAACGTGTACAGAGGATTAATGCATCACAAAATATCTTAACTGATATTAGTCACCAGACATTGAGAGCATAGCATACATGTTACTTTGTTCACTCCAAAGAACACAACAATGAGCACACTTCCTCAAGGTGAGCACAATATTTCTGTTCATTATCTTTCCTCAATTCAGAGAGCAAGGCAGGAAAGTCATGGAGATTTTAACTTTTGTCCAAGGAAGTATATTGCTCCTGCCAAAAAAGAGATTAAAATAAAACTCTTTCTGAAATCTAGTCTTTAAATTGATATGAAAGGTAACCCCTGAATTAACTTTGTAGTTTATATTTTCAAAAATCAAAGAGGAAGAGTGTGAAATTTCTGGTTAGGATATATATATATATAATTTTATATATATAATTATATATATAATTTTGAATAACTCAAAACTATCCATAAGCTACATTTTTTTGAAATTGACCATAACTCCATTTCTATTGTTTAATTTTTTTTTCTGTTACTAACCATTCCAAATTTCAAAGCATAAGGTAAAAGCAGAAAACATTTGCTTTAATTATTGAAACTTTCTGGCAAATTTTTTTTAAATTTTGTTTTATTTCTTGGGTTTTTTTTGTAAAATTACCTGGATGAAATACTACTTAGTTAAGTGAAACATAAATTCATTACTCTTCAGCATCTTCATTATTTTTCTCATATTCAGTTTGTGTTAAGAAATCATGGGCATATACTAATGCAGCATAGCATTATTCTTTATAATCTATAGAATGAAAATCATATAGTACATTTTGATCACTATTCATATAAAATATTATTTCAGATAAAAAAGCAAAGAAATACTATTTTTCAGTTCTTTGAGTCATGCTAGCTTTGAGGAAAAAGACATGAAATTTATTATATTTTTTCAAAGAAGTTACACTTAAATATTCAAAGAATGAATTTAATTATTTGAAATTTTAACTTCAAAAAAGTTAAAGTTTTAGAATATGAAAAAAGTAAACATGCCTTTTAAAATAAATATAATTATGGAAACTATAGCATAATGCCAAAGAAAATAATACATTATTTTTAATTCCAGATAGATCTTTTGGTAATTCTAGATAAAGGAAAAATGTTTTAACCCAATGGATTAGTCATTTTATAGTAATAGATGGATTAAGTTATTCTTAAATCTTTAAAGTCAGAGTAAATTAAAAACTGTGTGCAGTAGGCTAATATTAAATGTGAATAGACTTGTTTAGGCTGTGGACACAGTGAACCCACTCTGTCTGTTTTAGCAGGATCCATAGCTAATACATCATGTATACCCCCTTTGCCTGAGGATCTAATCTAGGGGATGGTTTTCATATAGTAAGCATTTAATGTTGAATGAATTATTACCAGTTTAATAGACTTTAATAAAATTAAGACCTCTGAGATAGGGCAGTAGTTTATATCTTTGCATTAACTCCCAGTCCAGCCATCTTCCAAATACTAATTACTCCTCTGTTCCTCTAAATCAGAGCTCATGAAATTAACCATGTTAACTGAACACATCAAACACTGTTCCATAACAACAGCCCTTAAAACTGCTTGGCCTCCTAGACAATATCATGCAATAGCCTTTTCTCTTCAGTCTCCACTATCTCCTCACTTGATAACTTTGTGGTGCTTATTTTACAACAGTAAGAGAATCTGTCCTTATAGTTAATGTTATTTTTCTGTAAATGAAGCCTTCCTGGAATTTAAAAAGCATATTTCAGAGAATGGAAACTTAGTGCACAAAATTAAAAATTGATTCCTTTTTATTCAGATCAAGAGGTCCCAGGCTCATCTATACCTCAGATGGGTTTTGTTTTTTTCCATTGAAGGGGTATAAGAAATTTAAATTACTGTAAATTATGATCTTGCTCATTGATGATAGCAAGTTTTCTTAAGCACTTTCTATGGGGCTTCTTAAAAGTTACTTAATTTTCTTTTGTGCTATCAGTCTAATTTTAGCCAACGAATGTTAACCCCTGTTAATACATTAGCTTCTGTGGGTACAGTGTTCAAATGTTAAGCCACTCACTTATTTAGAAGCATTTCCAGAGTTTCTTTATCTTACCCAGTACTCTGAACTGTGTTTTTTTTTCTGTCTATTGAAATTAACAATGCAATCAATAACCTGGCTATTGCACCTCTAAAGGGTGCAGTACCCATAAAGCTTTACATCTAAGTTATTTTTGCATAGGCTTGTGGGCTTGTTTTCACTTTCACCCACAAGCTAAAGGGGAGAGTTAGAAACTTCATTAAAAAGACATTTGTCCGGATGCTAGAGGAAGAGGAAAATACTCCATAGGCTATCTACCTAATTTCTAACCAATGTGGGATTACTCCCAACAGGAATCATTTATTGCTTTTCCTGGCCTAAGTGATGAGGTTGTTAGTATCTCTTTTGGCTGACTGCTTTGCAATCTAGCTGCTTTCAATTATGAAAAAAATCATCTTAATATTCATATAGGACTTCTGTCTCTCTTCATTTTTTCCAACATTGATCTCAGTGTCTCCTGGGCAAAGCTTACTTGCTGCTCATTGAAACTTCAAATATGTCAGAGTTACATAAGCAAGGCACCACTTGGAAAAGGACTTGTCCACATTTTAGTCAGAGACCAAAATTTTTCTAATTGCTCCTCATTTCAATTATCCTTCTCACATCCATATCCTCTCAACTTCCACGTTTTTGTACACTCAGTCCTTGGCCCATCAGACTAAATGTTCCATTTAATGCGAAGATATAATTGAATGTGATTGGATTTTTTCATTGCTTGGTGGAATCTTGATGTCCATTTAACTTTAGTTCTAACTATCAAAAAATTGAAAATTGTGAGTGTATAGTCAGTGAACAGAATTCTAAGTTGTTTCTTCATGGCTCTTTTGCAAATAAAATAATGAGATCTTGGGAAGGCTTTAGTAAAAGGAATGTTTAGTATGCAAAGAAAAAAATGTCACAAGACTAGGACTTGAAAGTCATGAATTAAAGTAAAATCTATAAAAGTGAGAAAGTAACCTGTTATCATGGCTGACTGCCCCTGTCAGTTTCTTTACATTCTCCACTGATTAGAATTGCTTTTAGAAAAAGCCTTTTGAAGCAAATAAAGTGGGGAATTAGCTGTATTTGGTATGTGTTTGCATACAATGTCAATTCTCTAATATTTCTCTTAATTGGTCCATCTATATATTTTAAAATTCTAATTCTAATAAAATAATTACAGTTTTACACATGCATCAATAAAATGGATTACTTGTAGTAAGACACCGTTAATTAAATTTTGGATGATAGTATAATTATTTTTAATTTCTGACCCAGTTCTCTTAAATACTGCTTTCACAACTGTCAAACAACTACTAGAAGGCAGTATTCTCAACAAGGTAACATTGAAGAAGACTGCTTCCTTTGGTGATGTTATTTGTAAGAAATAATCAGAACATATAGGTTGAGATCTTCCTTCGATTTTTAACTCTCCATCTGCATCTTAATCCCATCCACCTTGTTTGGCACATTAAAATTTTTTAAAACTCTCATATCCCTGGTATAAGATAAAATGTGCTGTTTCCTGAGAGGAAAATAATGGGAGCTGGTCATGAAGTCATGTTAGATGAATGACAGTAAACACTGAGCCCAGTGACACATTTTTCTCATACATGCAAAGTATCATTTTCGTCCAGGGATTTAGCTCAGTAGTTCTGGCGCCTGCTGTGCAAGTGCAAGATCCCGAATTCGATCCCCGGTACCAAAAACAAAGTATCATTTTCCCGCAGGTATGATGGTATTAATAATGTCAGACTTTCTTGAGGTGGACAAAATAATCTTGATTAGCTACTGTATATTTCAAAATCTTTGTTCATCTCGTCTGTTAATTTTGTTTCACTTGTGTTTTCCTGGAGTATATCCACTAACTTTCTGACATCCCTTCCCAAATAAACAGGTCGTCATGGAGATGGAGGTTATTGGCCAGTTGATACAAATTTAATTGATAGAAGCACTCTCAATGGTAAGTATATAAATTAGATTCTATTGGATTAGATATACTAATTAAAGGTTAATTCTAAAGTTTCTGAAGTAAATTTTCTATTGACAAGTGCTAAGAACCCAGGACTTAGTAGGGATAATGGAAGTATTAATTTATTAGTAGACCTTTAGTAATTCTACCAGATGATTCTAATGAGAGATGGCAGATGTATTAAAAATCATCAGAAGTCCAAATATTTTACAAATGACACAGGTCTATTAAATACCTATATTTTAAAATATGATAATATATTTTAAATGTTTGCAACTACTTAATTTTATTAGAAAGAGATAAGTATGGTTGATTAACTGAAACCAACTAAGTGTAATTATAAATTAATATTACTGGGCTTTTACACCTGGAGAGTACATTTATTCTCTAAATCCTTGAGCATTTTATTACTCATTTTCTTTGATGTTATCAAGATTAAACATTTATTTTGCTCATTCTAGTGATAGAATACACATGTAGCTGTTGGTTTTTAGGATGACCAGATGAAGGTTGTACTTAGAAATGTACTAGGAGCTGTTTGATAAGGGGGGATGCATTCCAGGACCTTGTTCTTAGTTTGATAGAAACAGAATCTTTGAAAGGATATGGTAATACTAGCCAAGTTTCCAAGGGAGTAAAATAAAATCTTTATATATGTAATTGTTATTATTGCCTGGTTCAATTTGCTAAAAAAAATCAAATATTCAAAATGTAATGATGAACAATGTGTAGATGGCACCAAGTTTAAGATACTAAATCTTCAACATATAAATGAAATCTCTCTCTCTCATGTGTGTGTGTATTATCACATGATTATTTTCCATTGTCATTCCTTACTCTGATGTAAAAACTTTCCCATTTGATGTTTACTACACATGTATAAACATCCCTAAACTATATTACTTAACATGTTTATAAACTTAGAGGAATGTAATCATATCAAATGTATTTTGCTGAGACCTGCTAATATCTCTAACTTTGCTTTTAAGATTTACCCAAGTGTTTGCAAATAGCTCTAGCTCATTTACCATTGCTGCTGTACAGTATTCTAACTTTACAGAACAACACAATTGGACCTATTTAGGAAGCTTCATGAGAGATTTGATTACTGAATAGATAAATTTCCATTTGGGTGATATCTTATTAAAAACACAAATGGAAGCCAAACTGTGGTCTAAAAGTTGTTTTTGGAGCATGAAATTAAAATAAGAGGATGAGTTAAGTCATTATTTCTTAATATAATCTACCATAATCTACTGCATCCACCCCTTCAAAGAGAAGAAAGAAATACATATGTGTGTGTATATATATATGTGTGTGTGTATGTGTGTGTATATATATATACTTGTATATACAAAATGAATATTTATGAGAATATCTGAATATACACAAACGCATCTGTAGAGTAGACCAAATGATTGAACAAAATTTAAAGGCTTAGTTTCACTACCCTCTGGCCAATGGAACACTCAGGAGTGTATGCTTACTTGTTGACCCTTCCTTTCAAGGTATTTTCCTCGCTTTTACTTAAACCCTTCTCACTACTAATGCCTTTTACCTAAACTTAGACAAGGACATTTTATTACATTTAAATTTTTCTTGGTTCATTCTTGTTTGTGTAACCTAGTTCTTTAAATTGGGCAATTTATAAGCAACAGGATTTCTTGGTCACAGTTCCAGAGGCTGGAAAGTCAAGGTCAAGATGCCAGCAGGTTAGGTATGTGGTAGAGGGTCATATCTCCTTCATAGATGATGCATTCTGTGTCCTCCCATGGTGGAAAGGGCAACCATGTTCCCCCAGGGATCGTATATGGGCATTAATCCCATTTATGAAGGCTCTGCTCAACTTAATCACATCCCAAAGGCCCTATTTGTTAATGCCTCCGTAGTGGGCATTAGATTTCAACATAGGAAGTGGGGTGGAGGGGGACAAATATTTAAACTATACCAAGCTTCCCGAATATATATTCTAATTAAGCCTCTCTAAGACTATATCCAGAATGTTCTCTCAGGGATCCTCATATCCTATTGTCTGGAATGCAGGCCCTCCTTCCCGACTTAAGTAACCCTTGTTAAGCATAATACTTAGCTCTGATAATCTGATATATACAACGGGCAGTGTGAAAGTTCTCAGCAGGAAGATGAGGGATGATTTGAGACTTAAAACATTCCAGTGGTATGCTCCATATGATGGGATTAGATAATAATAGTTCCTCCCCCAAAGTTTGCAGATTTTATTAACTCAGCTTCAATTTTTACTTTAAATCTCAACATGGTACCAAAAACTCTTCATGCTTTCAAGCAGTCGGTCAAGGAATGCTACTAAGGCTTCACTGAATTCAGGCTTCTTGTAGTGAGCTACAGGCATAAATTGAAAGACAGACCATGGCAGGAACAATAAACAGGCTGAATTAAGGATGAGGACAGGACAGAGAAATATGCTCCAGAGAGACGAAAGATGGTGAGAAAAATCCCGGGGATAGACATAAGGGTAAAGGAAAGATATTGTTGAAATAGTACAGGAAACTGTAACTGAAGCATATTTTACCTTAGATGGAAAGGTTCTAGGTTTGGAGTCATGCAGAGAATAACACTGTCTTCTTTAGAATCATCCAGCAGGGCCAATTTTGAGATGCTGTTTCTACATGACCTTTCAAATTGGAATTTATCCCTAATTATGGGCATGGCCACAGGACAGTACTATTTGAAGGGACAGAGCCCCAGGAAATTAAAAAAATAATCAGTGTAGATAACAGAGAAAAAGTAATTATCCTTGAGTAGCTTTCAACCGCCCCCAAGCAGTGCTTATGAGTGTGCAAGGGTGGAACACAAGTAAACTACAGACACAGAAGTGTGTGCTTTCTTAAAGCTTTGAATTATTTCTATTTGCCTATGCATCAGAGGTTAAACAGAACTTTATAAAAAGCTCCAATCTCTATGTACATATGCATCTCTGTTTGTATATGTATAAGAAATGAGAATTGTTTTAAATTTTCCTGGGCTTTGTGTATTTTTAGTTGCCAAATATGGTGATCCTGATTTTTGGACCAAGCTTAAAAGTTTGGTTCTATTTCAACATTCTCTTCAAAATAAAATGAACTTTTGGGCAAAAAGAAATCTCATTTTACACTTTCAGTTTCTAACACCAGAGAAACTATTCAGTATTTACACTTGTGTCCTATTTATTTCACTTAGGAGTATGGCCTCAACGTGCATCCATTTAGCTATAAATGTCTCTAGTTTCTCATTGTTTATGGCTGAGTAGTTCTCCCTTTTATAAAAAATTCACATCTTCTTTATCCAGTCACCAGATATGGGCAATTGGGCTGTTTCCAAGTTTAGCTATTACAAACTGTGCCACTATAAACATGGGTACATAGATAATGTGAAATAGGAAATTAAGGCCCAAAATGGAAGGGGAAGTGGAAGGGGTAGGGGAAAGGAAAGGAATAAATATGAGAAAAGGAGAAAATGGAAACAAAGTCTTTGTTTAAATAGGGGTGGAGGGGTGGAAGGGAGGGCAGGAGAATGGGGAAAAAATAAGAACCAAGATACATTATGTAAAGGTACAAGATCCCAATGATAAATATCATCATATTGTATACCTAAAATGTACCAATAAACTTAATGAATTTTAAAAAAAGAAATCCCAGCCTGAATTTAACATGAATAGCATATAAGTCAACAGAACTTTCTTTTTCAAAGGACTCAGATGAAGAGCATGACAGTAATTGGGACAATGCATGTTATTGTACTCATTTTTTTTTTTTTTACCATTTTAGAGTCCTAGTTAGAATACAGTCATAATTAAATTTGACCTGATAAATATTATCTCAGAGGACAAAGTTGTGAAGATAAAATAGATAGTGACATACAGAGGCTTTGGACCAATTTATATAAATTATTGACATTATCCCAACACAATTTTCTGCATCACTTAATAATGTTTTAAGTATTTCATGTTAATCAAATGGAATGTACAAAGCACCTGAAATGCTTTTAGATTCTCTACTGGAATAACAAATTATTATATGGGCTGACTACAATGAATCAGTAACCTACCTCAAGAGGCATGGGTGGTAGAAGGCACACTTAATCTGTTTCCTGTGCTATAGAAAAGTGGTGGTAAATATGTCATTGACTTTAGCCCTGGATTCTGCAAGCAAACCTGCAAAGGCTTCTGAAAACCCAATTAAAATTCTGCTAATGGCTTAAGATTTCAGAAAGGGGCGTTTTCCAATTAGATATGCAAGTGAGGTCCCTGAGTGATAAAACTCCAATTACACCTCACCCTTACAAAGCATGCTGCATCAACAAAAGCATCTTAAAATTTGAGTTCCTAAACCTCATGTACAATGACATTTCATACAGCTCCCCTTAGAGTGACAGAAATACAGAGGTTTCTTGGCTCTCTCTACACTTGCTGGGCTCATCTTTCAAAGTTCTGTAATAGAATAATGGCTTATTGTCAAGATATTCAAGCCGCTTGCAAATAAATTTAGACCCTGCTAATCATTTACTTTCCCTTTTGGCTTGCCAGTCTTTTAAGAAATGTAGTTTTGGCATTCAAATAAAGAAAAACAAAGCTATAGTTCATGTTTACTCTTATGGTTGAAAGCCCTTAATTAAAATGTAGAAACTGAAGAGGCTTCCTAAATTATCTTCTGAAGGCAGGTAGAATCAAAACTAATGCATGGTGGTAGAGTAGTATTTTACTTTTAGAATGCATTCCATTTGAGATTATGGTTCACCTTCTTACCACTGAAAAAATTTTCAACTTCTAAAAGAATATAGCTTGTGTGAATGACAGTTACGAAAGTCACTTCAGCTTACTTACTTCTTATCATTGTTAGCTCCAGTTTCCTTTTGTTGTCAGTTCTGCCTGTAACTTGCAAAATTAGTTTTGTAAATTTGATTTCAAAACCTAAAAGCCCTTAAAATATGATCTTATTGACCTAAACCTTTGAAAACAAAGTTAAACCTGACATATTTTAATACTTTGGTACATCATTATTAATGAAAATTCAGTCTTATAAATTTTATGAAGATTCTGCATGTATTAAGCATTCTGGAAGACTTGACATATGCTCTACAGGGGGTACATCAGACAAAAGGCCAAAATCTATCCTCTATTTCAGAAAAAGTGTTTATTTTTTTTAGAATCCAGTAGCATTTTAACTAACCAAAATAAGGTATATGTAAGTTCTTTAAATGTTTCTGTGAAATGATCCTTCTCAGATTGGTAAACTATTAGAAGACACTCAACAATATACTCAAAGGGAAATATCCAGAAATAAAGTTTCCAGCTGTCTCTCAGATGGAAGATAAATGCAGCTACCTGCATTTCCAGGATCTAGAACAGTGATTCCAAGAGGCTGTGCTCACCTCTCATCCATTCATTATACTTTCCTGCAGGATTTTAAGGATTTTGAAACCCGACGATCTGGAACTGACTTTTTCAGTGATTAGGGCTTTGTGACTAATTAAGTCATTTAAACTCTTTGGATTTCATATTTCATCTGAATTTAGAAAGTATTCAACTAGACCCAGTTTTCTTAATCTAAGCACTGTTGACATTGGGGGCAGGACAGTTTTTGTTGTGGTGGTGGTGGTGACTGCCGTGAGCATTGTAGGATATTTAGCTCCCTTGTCCCATGTTGTAACAACTTCAAATGTCTCTAGATAGTGCCACATTTCCTTTGCTGGAGAGTGCTTTATTCCCAGTTGAAAATCACTGAGCTACATCACTGTCTCCTAAAGGTTGTTTAACGGACATGAATTCCATGAAAAGCTCTTAGGAAAACAAACAAAAAAACAAAATAAAAATAAAAACCCCTACCAATGATACATAAGCATTGGGAGCCTGGTTTGGCACAAGCACGTGTGTGTGTGTGTGTGTGTATGCGTGCGTGCACGCGAACGAGCATACACCCTTATGTATAGTACTGAGGATTGAACTCAGGGCCTTCTCACTGAGTTACACACCCAGATCTCTTTCTATTTTGTTTTATTTTGAGACAGGGTCTCTCTAAATCTCTGAGTTGCCTTTGTAATCCTCCTGGCTCTTTTTCTCAGACTGCTGGGATTATAGATGTGTGCCACCACGCCTAGCCTGGTTTGGCCCTTTATTCCTCTTTGGTCAGGCCCTTCTCTTATACTTGAACTATAAGGTCTTTGTCCTGAGAGAGCTTTTCTACTTGCACTTACATTCTTGATTTTGATTTGCCTTCAAATCCCACCTGCATGCCAACTCCCAAATTTATATTCCAAGTGCAGTCTTTCTAGCTACTTCTTTAACACTTATCACCACTCCACTCTGTGTTCAAGGCTGAATGTTGGCTCTTCTCTTTCTGAGCCTTCTCTTTCACCTTGCCACACCACACTCACAAAAGGTTATGGCTTTAACCTACGCATACCTCTCCCTTTCTGTCCTCTACTGTATCCAGCCTGCATTTTTCTCATTTCTTTTCAAACTATACTGTGTAACTGTCCACTTTTCTTCATTGTAGTGCCAACCATCTCAGTTCAAAACATTATGATCTGTCATCCCTAGAACTTCAACAGCCTCTTTGCTGGTCTCTCTGCTTCCATCACCAACCTTTCCACAGGGCAGCCAGGGAGGTCTAAAAGCAAATTAAGTCTGTCACTGGCTGGCTGAGAACCTTCAGTGCTCTGTGATTGCATTTAGAGTAACTGAATGGTATCTCTAGAGCTTTGTATGACAGGGTCCTGCTTCTCTCTCCAGCCTCATTCCAGACACATAGTTCCCTTGTGATGGACCTGAGTTCCCTTGTGATGGACCAGGAACTAGCTTGTAATACTTCATGATTCAGCTGGCCACCTCCATAATGAACCTTTTCATAACTCTCAAAAGCAGCCATGTCCTCAAGTTATATCTGTCTGTAAACCCCTCCACATTTAAAAAAGCCACTTATAATTGTAATTTTATAATTAAAATTTGAATTTGTTTAATATTAATCTTTTCCAGTGAATTTTAATATCCATGTCAACAATTATGCCTTTCTTTATCAAAACATGTCTTCAGCATCTAACTGGACCTTCAGTACGTATTTATGGAATAATTGAGCATATTCTCTACTATCCTTGAGACAAGAAATACTTTTTCCAATATAATTGACTAAAGATAAAAATTTTCTTGAACACTGATGAAAGTTTTATTTTAGGAAACACTTGGCTTGACTCTGATTTTTTTCCTACTGATTGCCTATAGCACCAATTTTAGGGGGAAATTCTTTGAAATGATCAAGGCCATATGCTTTTATGTTCAAATTCAAAGAATCGTAAAATTATTAAGACATATTTGAGCTCAAAGTGTTTTAATAACAAAAGTGTCAGAAAAGTCTGTAATTTTAAGAAAGATGTTCAGTACCCAACTAGAAAGTTCCACTGGATTATATTTTGGGAGGCTGAGGCAGGAGGATCACAGGCTCCAGCCAGTCTGTGTAACTGAATGGCTTAGCAAGACCGTGTGTCAAAATTAAAAATTTTAAAATGGGCTGGGGATTTAGGTCAGTGAGAAGACCTCAGTAGCACAAGAGAGAGAGAGAGAGGGAGACACAGAGAAAGAGAAAGTTAATTTGTTTCACCAGATCTATTCCTTTCTTCACAACTGAATTTATCATTCACGCATTCACACTGTTCACCTGACCAGTGATCTTATGCAACTATTAGGGCACAGCCATTATGGCCAAGTGACAAGATGCTCAAGATAGGAACCAGGGCTTCCATATTCATTACCTGGTTTGTTTTCTGTGTAATTAAGTACTCAGTGCTGCTCTGATCTATAATAAGCTTACTATAGTCTTTACAAGGAAAAAGTATCATAATAAATGTAACATATTTTGAAATCCTGCAGTATTTTAGAAAATTTAAAGATCTTATTTCACTAAGCCAATTTTCTAATCTTTACTTTAAATTTAAAACTATCACATTATTATTTATTTTTGCTTTTATTCATTTTAGTAGAAAAGAAGGTAAAATATTTTACTGTGATTGAACATCATGAAAATTTATATGCCTATGAGACTGTAAAAACCTTGACCCCCTTCTCCCTGATTTCTGTGGAGGATGCATAGGTCTTCATACTCAGGCAGTGGGTACCCACACTTATTGCTGACACTGACAACAAGCACATCATTAAGATAACACAGTGTATTTTTTCTGTCAATTTGGAAAATCCCACAGGATGAGAGACCGAGCCGCATTATGTTAAGCCATGTCATAATGTCCCCTGAGGGCCACCTCTGTGCTGGGGCTTGAGGCCAGTGCTTTCTCACAGAATATTCACAGCACCCACAAGTCTTCACATTTCCCCATGCAACTTCTCCACTGCAGCCAGAAAAGTGGTAAATGTCCTTTGGACTCAGATTGTCCTAAGTGCACTGATCTAGGTTTGCAAACTCTGAGGTTTCTTCATATTTGGATCAATCTTTTGAAAAATTGAAATGTAGACTGCATGAGCCCTCACCCTCTGCAGATTCTGTATTTGTGAATTCAACTCTGCTAAAGCTTGTTTTTAACCTAAAAATCAATATAGTGCTTTCCTGGTTATTCACGGACAAGTGCAAAGTGGCAAAAATTTTGATTTGCCCCAAGGCTGCTGTGGCCAGCAGAGATGGAACAGGCAGCTCTTTGTCTGCTTGCTTGAGCCTTAGATTGAATGAATGTTCTTTTTGTGGTATATTGAGTGCTATCTTTTTGTTTTTTACTTCCTATTGGTGATTTTAATGTTCAAAATGACCCCACAATAGTGTTGAAGTGGCTTCTAGTCTTTCTAAGCATAGAGGGATATTAAGTACCATACAGAAAAAATATGAGTGTTTTGTTCAGACATGAGTTTATACCATAGTGCTGTTGACTAGAAATTCAATGTTAATGAATCAACATTATATATTTTTTTAAAACTGTTTTTAAAATATACATCATATAAGGCTCTGTACATTGCATGGCTGATAAAAAAATATGTAACCAGAGGCCTACAGAAACATAACCTGGCTTTTTATTTAGAGGCACTAGTTAGTTGAGTATCGCTAGTTCAGTGTTCACAGTAACTTTACAGAACACAGCTATTCAAAGCAACAACTAGGCCACCCCTGCTCTTGACTTTAACTTTCCATTCAATGTCAGCTATTCTGCACATTCAGTGTCTGATTTGAGAGTAGGAAATTAATGAACGACCTTATATACCAAGTTTTAAACTAACGGGAACTTTTATGAGAAATAATAAAGGCCTGGAATCAAAGCTTACTAATGAGTCCTAATGCATCTTAACTCTCTAAAGAAAATGACCTCCGTATAATCTCACTAGAGCTCAAGAGGATCCAGTCATTATTTCCTGACTTGAAATATGATGCCTTCTTGTGTGGAAAGACATTTGAATAATTCTGGCTTACTGGGTTTTTAAAACTGTTCATAAGTTATACTATTATGTATGATTCAAACTGAGTTTGTTTTACCAGTTTAGTTTAAATCATGCTAATAAATAACCTGAGGTTCCAAACTATCTTCTTTATAAGCTATCACATGAGAAGTTAGTTTATTCCAATTAATTATTTTATTAAGCACAGACAGGGTATATTGAAATCTTACTGTAAAAGAACTTTACTAACAACGAGTAAATCTATGATACAGAAAGTTCTGACCTGGCCCTATTCCTTTATGGTAAATGTAAAAATTACTTCAAGAAAAGCTTATTTTTCTCATTTATAACCAGAATCTTTTTAACAGAAAGTACTATTTAACTACTTTTGATGAATCCCTCCCTCTGAGATTCAAGATATATCATCTCCCTAACCTGAACTTGATATGCTTGTCATTTTCTAGAGCCACCCATTGGACAGATGCACCCTCCACATGGCAGTGTCACACCTCAGAAGAATAGCAACCTCCTTGTGATCATTGTGGTCACTGTTGGTGTCATCACAGTGCTTGCTATAGTGATCGTGGCAGTTATTTGCAGCCGGCGCTCTTCAGCTCAACAGAGAAAGTAAGCATCAGGTGACTCCTAAGAAGAAAAGGAAGTCCCCATCTGTTTGAATTGTATTTTTGATGTCTTTCTTCCTGTGTTCTTTCATAATTAACCGATCCTGTTCCTTATCTCTGGACCCTGACAAGCCTTGCTTTTTATCTGTTTCAGGCCTGTAACTAAGTAATGGATAGACTTGCAGATTTAACAACAGCATCCCTGGAGATCCACTTGCATTTCTGTTTGTTTTTACTTCTCAGGGCCAGATTGCTCTTTTCAGGCAAGGGCAGGGATTCTTTAAGTAACATTCAGAAGATGTGTTCATGCTCCTGGCCCTCTCTGCAGTCATGTGTAGGCAGTTGGAGATAGTGTTCCTCTGTAAGTACTTATTTATCACTTTTGACAGGGAGACTATAGGCACTTAATCTGCTTTTTGAATGGATGACTAAATACAGATTTCCAAATTTAATGTCATTACAGTCCTATAGAGTGCTTATCTTGGAGGCAGTAGTAAAGAGATTCTGGAGATTTGAAAGCGTTCATATTTCCTGTGGTTGTCAGATATTAAAACTGTTGAATTTAAAAATATTTTCATATCACATATCTTCATGTTTAAGCATATCCAGAAGATGGTATATCAAAATACAAAGTTTAGAATGACAATATGGCTTTTATGTTTTACATGGCTCATCCCCTTACACAAACATCTATGACCAGCAGGTTTGTCCTATATTAGCAGGTTCTTGAAGTCAGCAATAATCTCCTGGCCATTCTTTGCCTCTGTGAACTTCCAGTCCTTTTCAAATATGTTGATATTTTTCAGCAATACTCCCTAACTGTGTTGACTATTTTTTGCCTCAGGCATGGTGCTAGCATGGGCCCAGAGTTGGCTGGTTTGACAACTATGGACTATACTAATTGTTAGATGAAGATTCTCTAGCAAGCAATATCCTTTTATTGTTAATTGCTCAGAATTCCTCTTTTTTGTTTTTACAAATACAGTAACTCTACTTGTTGATCTCTCACGAATTTCCCAACACTCAAGTGAAGTTTTTAGAAACAGAATGAAGGAAGATATACATACTGAAGTGACAGAAAGGGTCAGAGGCAATCCTTGTGTTTATCTCTGTGGCAAGGAAAGTTTTATATGGAGCTGCCTTTTTGAGATTGCACTACTTTGAATCTGTTAGTAGCTGGTGTGCTGATCCATTGTACACAGATGAGAAGCCTAACAGAATGAGCTCTGTGAGCCCAGCATCTTCAGTAAGCAGTCTGGGAAGACAGGGTAACTCACAGCACTTCTGGAGTGTTGGGTCCTAATAAAGGTTCAGGAAAAAAAGAACTAATTGAGTGAGTGTCTTGGTCTGTTTTCTGTTGCTATAACAAAATAACCAAGGGTGGATAATTTATAAAGAATGGAGCTTCTTTGGGCTCAGAGTTCTGGAATTTCAAGAACATAGTACCTACATATACAGGGCTTCTCCTGAGGGCCACTTGCTGCTACATACCTGGTAAAAGGACAGAAAATCAAGTGGACACGTGTGGAACAGAGATAATATGGCACAAGAGGAAGCATGAGATGAGAGGTAGCCTCATTGTGAAACAAGCTACTCTAAAGATAATAAACACAGTCCCATGAGAGTAAAAACTCATTCCTGCAGTTAAAGCATTAGTCCTACATAAAAACCTCACCACCTCTCAACACTTATGTTGGAGACCAGGCCTCAAAATGAGGTTTGATGGGGATAAACCATATTCAAACCAATGCAAGATACTGAACAGATTCTTGGTCCAGTATTCCTAGGAAAGAAATGTATAAAGGCAGAACGATGAACCATCAAGCACCAGGTCTCTGAAATGGATCTCAGAAGGGTGCACATACAAAGAAGAGGGAGGAAGCATCCAAACTACATTTTGTCAAGCCCAGCCGGGGCAATTTAGCAACTCAATGAGGCCAGTCTCAGAATAATTTTTTTTTTAAAAGGCTGGATCTATAGCTCAATGCAAAGGCCAGAGGAATGGAGGGACATTTGACCACTTTACAATTGGTGCTAAAACACTGGTGTGTTCACTAAACTAACCAAATTTACTATACCATCTTCTAAGAATTTTTTGCCCCCCTCACTGTCATTACTGTGACAAAAATGTTATAAACAGTTATATAAACTGATGAATTAGATTATTGGACAAATTTTGTTTCTCTACAAGTTCCCAATGTTGAAAGTGAAATGCTGAGAAACTCACCACTCATTTTTCAATCCTTTGATAAGCCCTTTAGTAAAAGCTTAAAGGTTTTAGTCTTAGATAGATTCTAAACCCCGAGTATAACTTGTTTTTTAAAATTAAGGCATGAAGGAAAGAAGAAGTGATTCCATGTGTGATGAAAGATCCAAAGAAAGTGCATTTCTAGCTCACTTTCTTTTTTTTACACTAGCCCAAAGTTTCTTAATATTAACTTGGGGCACTTTGGCACTTTCACATCTCTCCTCCATGGCAGATCTATTGGCCTTCACCCTTCTCCCTTTGTTTGCATATGTTAACAGAAACAAAGAGAAAATTCCATCAAGCCATTGCTGAGTTGTAATTGAGTTTTTCTTGATTTCATTGAGGACCCCCCTAGCAGACCCCCATGATTGTTGAATCCTTTAGAACAAATTGAGTGAAATAGATGAAAGCAAAATCAGTACCAATCTGAAATAGAAATAAGGCTCTTTACAGAGCTTTCTGAAAATAGGGACTTTAATGTAAGTAATAAAGAGAAGTAGGAAACGCATTCAGGGCTTCTTTAATATCTCTCTGTCTGAGTCTGTTGACAAATGTGAATTTTTTTCTGTGCTATTTGTTGGTGAGCTTGAATTGCATCCAAGTGGACTGAAACATTTGTATGCCCTATCAGTAATACCTTATTCTAGTTAGTATCATATAAATCTTACAATTTTTAAAATTTGTACATATATTTAATAATTATGCAGTCTACTTGATTAAAAGTCTAGTAAGTAAGATTTAATTTTTTATCATATAAAATAACTAGCAAAAGTTGGAACCTAAGTTCCAGTTCTGGCTCTACTACTACTTTATTTAAACTAATTATGCCACCTAAGGGAAGAACTTTAATCCCTGGATTTCAGTTTTTTCAAATATAATGAGAATTAAGAGTAAACATTTTATATCATCTCCTTTATCTTTAAAACCTAGAAGCCCTCCTCCTCAGAATACTACTAAACTATAGAATCATACTATGTCATTTAGATTTAAAATAATACAAAATAAAAATAAAATTTAGCATTTATTTTTAGTTATGTATTACAACATTTTACCTACTTTGAAAAAACTCCTCTTACATATTTTCAATTAGTAAATTTATAGTGGATTAGTATAAGAAGAATTATGTTTTATGAAAACAAATTGATGGGATTTTCTGTGCTCTTTAATAAAGTAATAAGATTTTCCTGGTGAACATAAAGGTCACATGTTATGTTAAGTTAGAATAAATGTAGAGATAAACAAAAATATTTGACATTGAACAGATCTTAAAAATTCAGAAAACATGGTTATTACATTTAGAAAGCAGTTTTAAGGTAGATAATTTACAGGCTTTTCAGATAAAATGATATTTGAATATGTAAGTAAAACATAAGGTTCAGTTGATAAAAATCCCTTAATCTTTCTATTTGATTTGTCATGTGTACAGCAAGTTTTAAAGATCAGTTCACATTCAAAATTTGACAGAAATAATTATTTTCAATACAAAAGATCAAATCTTTACAATCTCAAATGAAATCCTCAGTATTTTAACTCTAGGTTACTTTCACTGATTTTCAGTTTTTTAACATTTTAATTATTTTTTTAGTATTTATGTCACAGGGCTTTTAACTGGCAACTACTTAGGACTTTAATATATCTTAATTCCACCTCAGAAAATAAAGATTTATTTGAGTAACAATAATTTTCCCTGAGTTAATAATGTAGGATTTTATTTTTAATATTTATTAAAATAAAAATAATATAGAGAATGGAGAAAGAAGAGAAAATATTTCTACATCCCAATCTATCTTTTACTAGTGGATTATAATCCTTTCTGTACATTCCTTTTTGACCTCCTGAAGCCCTTCTCCCATGCCTGGCAGGGCTCAGCGTTTCTGCCTCAGTCTTCATAATGTTTTAGGCAGATCCTTGACCGCTGGATTAGTACAGAACTATTTATTTGTCTGCCTCTTATAAACAACTTGAGCAGGTCATAGCTAAGTACATAGAGAGAACTTAACCATCTATCACAATGTCTCAAAAGAATCTATGATAACAATATTTTAGAACATCAGTGGACATAGTCTTGAATATAATAGACAGTTTACCAATGTTGCTTTTAACTCATACACAATTCCAACATACTGATTAAAAGCAAAAAGGATATTCCTTTTAGAGTAATAGTTTTTATGCAAAGTAAGGAAAAGGTAGACCAATAAACAACCAATGAAGAAGTTTTTAAAAACTCAGTAATGAGAAGCTCTTTTTTTATACAAGTAATCACTGAATGCTTAGCATGTGACTGGCATCATACAAAAAAATAAATCTTGTTAACGTTAACTTTTGAACTAAAAATACTTCTGCAGTTCCCCACTGACTTCTTGGTATTATTCCAGATGTTGCTGTTGGAAGCAAGGCCTCCTCTGATTTGGTCCCTTTTGTTCTCACTCTTACTTCCTTCCATATTCCAGTGCATACTCCTTACTCCAACACTTCAGAAATTCCCACAAGCCAGGCCATTTTAGTTCATTTATTAAGGTCCCAATTCCCACCCAGATTGTCACTTGCAGTACATATATTTATTGACACATAGTCAAAATTCCATACATGTTCAATGAAAAATACTCATGAATAAGTAGTGTAAAATGATGGATAATTTTGAGCAAGTGAAGGAAATGGTTTTCTCTAGCATGGCTGGCACTTCTGAATTATCACAGAAGAGTCAGTTCAGTAAGATACTCAGCTTTCAGTACCCAGGTGATAGGTTAGAGAGATGAAGGATATGATTTAGATTGTTTGGGGTTTTTATTAGTACATATTTGTATTACATAATGTTTACATTCCTTGTAGGGAGTTGGTATATGTACATTTTAATTCCATTTTTTCATCCCCTTTCCCTTCCTTCCCTCCATCCACCTCTTGATCCCATTCCTTTTTTGTATGTTTTGCAATACAAATGCATTCCTTGTGTGGAGTTGGTACATGTACCTAACACATTTCCATGCTAATTTCCAAAGTGGTTCTATGATTACATTGACTTAAAGTGGTTAGGAAGGCTTCCTGAAAAAGAGAGTCTTGAAAGGAACTTTAATTCATAATGGGATTGCAAAGGCATTCTGGAAAGAAGTTAAATAGAGCGACAATAATATTAAAAATACAGGAAACAAGTATACAATTATACAATAAAATCTTTGCCATAGAATGAAAAGAAGGACTTGGAGGATTGTTTACCTTTTTTCAAGAATGTATGGGATAGGAACTGATACTCCTACATTAAAACCATTTTTGGAAAAACAGAAATTACTGGCACCTGTGAGAAAGCATTTGATATTATCAGGAGTTAAATGCGTGAAATCATCTTCATATATTAGAAATACAAGCTTTAAAATAAAATAAAACCAAATAAGTCACTGGATAGTGGTCTTCAAACTTTACGTTCACCTGGAGGACTGCTCAAACACAAATTTCTTCCCATCCCCCATCTCCACATTTCTCATTTAATAGCTCTGGGATGGAAACTGAGACAGTGTGTTCTTGATAAGTTCCTAGGTGTTACTGATGCCTCCCATCCAGGGGCCATATTTTGGGAACCGCTGTACTGGGGCATCTTCATACACATTTTGAAGTTTCTAATGGTGAAGCAGAAGAACTGAACAGTGCTGTGCGGAGCAGTCATTATGTGAGAGAACCAGCAGATGGGAAGAAGGTCAAGATGACAGCTGTGCCTGTAAGGTTTTAGGACAAATTTCAGACACTTTAGTTATGAATACTTGTTGGTTTTATTACACAACTGCTACAGAGGCCTGGAGGTGGGAGTCTCTCCAAGGGCAAAGATTTCTTTTTTGAAAAGAGAGATCATAGGGAAAAAAGTATTTAGATGGATATTGATAGAATATATACCCAAAAGGAAATGAAGTCCATTTGGAGATGTTTAGATTCTTTACTGACAGCAGGATGGGTAGGTAGTTTCTTAGCTGAGGTCTTGATCTGATTAAAATCCATCAGAAAAATGCTCATGCATTCTCTCAGAAATAATCATTTTTTCCCAGATAAGTTCATGAATCACAAACATATAAAGCTTCTCCCTCATCCCAGGTTTGAAACTTTATTTGAAATAGAAGACAGGAATGCTGGGTCCTGGAGCAGTAGTGGAGAAATTAATGAATAGGCCATGCATGAATGAATAAATGAATGAATGAATAAGGTATGCATGTAAGCATGGAGAAACCAGAATTCATAAGTAAATATTGGCTTCAAAAATTATTTGCTACATTTTTTTCTGTAGCCTATTTAAATACTGAGTTATCCTCAAAAGTCTCACTGTGTTGCCCTGGTTATGGGAATTGACACTTCTCTGTAGGTTGTTACATAGATGCTGGGGTTGTTAATTAGTACTTTGATCTTGTAGAAAGACAGATAACAAGGTAAAGCCACTAAATTTGAGAATAAGATTAAATTCTTCTATAATGCTACCAGGGATAAATTACATAAAAACTTTGTATGAGTTGAAGATCTGTTCAAGAAGATGGATGAAGTGTAAGGAAATGAAGCAGGGAATGATTGGTTAGCAGTGTTATGTGAAAACACGCAAAAATTATCTAGGAGTTATTTTAGACCACTGTCTAGAGACAGTGAAGATTTGCTGGCAGGATATCAGCAAAACACAGGTATTGGGGGAAATATTACAGCAGAAAACAAACATTGTTTCTCTAATAACTACAAAATAGATATTAAGTGGAGAGTTTCCTGATCTCATCAGTTTGCTTTAAGAAACATGAAAAAGAACATTGGGAAAACTCAGCAAATTGTGTCACCAAACATTTATTAATTACCAAACATTTGCAAAGTTTGTTATTCAACAATTAGAAAAGCAAAGTCATTTATCCAGTGGCTACTAAGTATAGCTTGTTTGAATCATTTGGCAACCATAGAAAGCCACCACTGTAACAAATGAAGAATGTGGGAATGAGATGCTTCTCCAAGGGTCTGTCAAAACTAGAGATTAACGGTTTGCATTTTGTTTTAGGAGAAGCATTATTTTATGAACAAAAACTGCAGTTATAAGGGGAGATTATAAAACAGTGGATGAGGGACCAAAAACTATTTCTGAAAAAGACTAAATAATACAATTGTTTAAGACTTTCAAGCTCTACACCCTCCATCATGACTATACAATGTTGCCACTGAAGTGCAAAAACAAAGTTGGCCATGTTCTAGTGAAACTTTATTTACAAAAACGGGGGGGGGGGGGGGGGGGGGGGGGGTGGACTTAGCTCAGTGTTCCCCTGCCTACCTCCCAAGTGCAAGGTTCCCAGTTCGATCCTTGGTACCAAAAACAAAAAACAAAAAACAAAAAAAAAAAACGCCGTGGGAAGATTTGGCCTGCAAGCCATAGTTCTATGGCTCCCTACTATAGGGTGGCTAGCATAACCATCATGCTTCTTAATGCAGAGAGCTGTTAAATTTTACTAGCCCCCAAATGAAAGCATCACTGAAAAAAGTAAAATTTTGGTTGCTAGTCCTTAAGCAAACAAGAGACACTTGAAGCAGATTTGTAAAGGATGGATCCTTCTCTTCACTTTTCAATGGACAAGTCTCATTGTGGTTGAATCTAGGCACTTACTGACTCGAAGGCAGAAGTGTTTTATTCACCTAAGAATGTCCTCATGCAGTCTTTTATTTTCAAATAACAAGTGTCCCACTTACACATAAAATTGCACGGCTGAAGTATAGACTTTCTTCTAAGCCCCAATCTTAGCTGTTGGCTCAAATTCTGGCCTTTTTATTTCAGTCTGCTCTTTCAAAGTAACTCCTTCATTTATCTCCTAAACAGATGTTGCAGTCAGGTACCTTATGCCTAGCTCCACAGATTGGCATATGGCTCCATCTAACCCACTGTCACCTTGTGCATGAATCTGCAGCTTGTGAAGCTGGAATAAGAAGCTTTCTGGCAGGCAGCCGAGGCCCTGGGGATTCAGCACTGCATCTCCTATAATGTGGTGAAGCTCCAAGGGAGAGGAGGAAAGGCAGCCAAGACAAGGCTGCCAATTTTGGGATTTCACGGATCTCCTGTGGGAGTCCTTTTGTTTCCATCCCTGTATCCAACTTGAATTGACTGAGGAAGGAAAAGAAGCACTACTGAATAGAGGTGTTTACATTTCCCTTCTAACTTTGTTCCATAGGAAACGGGCCACTCACAGTGTGGGCAAAAGGAAGGGCAGCCAGAAGGACCTCCGACCCCCTGATCTTTGGATCCATCATGAAGAAATGGAGATGAAAAATATTGAGAAGCCATCAGGCACTGACCCTGCAGGAAGGGACTCCCCCATCCAAAGTTGCCAAGACCTCACGCCAGTCAGTCACAGCCAGTCAGAAACCCAACTGGGGAGTAAAAGCACTTCTCATTCTGGTAATTATCAACCCACTGACATCAGGGAAGAACCCCACCATCCAATTTTCTATTCCTTCTGTTATGGAGATAACCTCCCATTAACTTGCATGCTTTTAATAATTTCAATAATCTGATATAAATTTGGTTGATTAACCAGTTACATATATTATTCTCTGTCATCCTATTGCCTGTCTTTTATAACTTAGATAATTATTGAAAGTTCTAAAAGATTAGGAACAGTACAGTTTGGAAATATTGAAATGAGAAGCCAAAATAAATTGATTGCTTTTACAAAATCTTCAACAAAAGTTTTGTCAAGACAATCAAGCTTGAAGCTTCTTGTACACATTTCTTCCAGGTTTCAATCTCTATAGATAATTAGAAGTTTATTCTCAATATTTTGTTGATTCTTTTTTTAAAAAAACTCAGATCAAGGCCACTTAAAGTATGAAAAAATAAAGTATTCTGTTATTGGTCCTTCATTACTATGGCCATCAACTGTAATAATCAGGCAGTCGCTTTATGTGATCACTAATTTGATAGTTTAAAAGTTGTCGATATGCAAAAGGATCTGAAAGAAAAAGCATCTTGTCCAATGAATTGGTTCAGAGCAGCCAGTATCCAGGAATCACTAAGAATTCTTCCAAAATGGTTATGTTTCACTTTCTGTTGCTCATATTATCTAAGTGCTTATAGGAAGTAGAATATCACTCAAGTATCACCAAACACTTGATCGACTCCTGTTATGATTATAGAATGAGTAGTTGCTCTTTTTAAACTAAATTAGGATATTTTAATTATTTGAATGTGTAGCTGTTTTAATGGGCTTTGTCAGTTCTAAATTGCATAAAAAAGGAATTTAATTGCTAATTTTCAGCCATGGGTTGTTGAATATTCCTTTCCTAGCCTTTAAATAGTATCTCTAGCAGATCCTGTAACTTTCCTATCATTTTACTCATTAAAGGGCAGTCTAATCATATTGAAAACACTAATCTAAAATTTAAATTAAAAATTTTCCTGCTTTATGGCTGGCTAGACTTTTGGATCTGGAAACTGAGAGTTACAATTTGTTTTTTAAATCTTTCATCCCTTAGAGAGATGATATTGTGGCAGGATAGTAAATTCATAATGTTTTAGAAACACCTTGGCATCTTTTCCCTTACCTCTCTAGTCTTTCTAGTCATATCATAGAAAAGAGAGGTGAAGAGGGGCTTATGGAGGAAATAAAGGACTCTTTGAGGATCTTTCCTGCTTTTCTGGACCCGAGGGGTAGCTCCTGAGTAGCACCCAAATTCTGAGTCTTCTCTTAGGAAGCACAAGGGTGAACTTTTTACAAGACCCTATGGTATTCCTCCACTGCCCAGTTCCATGCTACCAGACAAGCGACACCAAGTCAGGATTAATACCCTCTTGACAGGCACAGCTCTCCCTGTCAAGCCCATGGGGCCTCTGGTGGGTTATTGTATGTGAGTTCCAAGAAGAGGACTCCAGCCTGACCAACCTTCCACATGCTACTTGACCCATGATACCCTCCTGTATCTTTTCCAGGCACAATGGTAAGAGACTTTGTATTCTTCCACTACCCCTCTCTTGCCTTCCTTTCTTCAACTGCCTTTCTTTCTATTTAGATAGAGATAGGGTAGATCAGCAAACCTTCTCCCTGAGCAGACTTCCACCTGAAAAGTAAATCATTTTTACATGTGGATTGTCTTGTAGCTTTATTCTCAACTGGACACCAGTTGGCAGAAAGAGCCTCTCACTGGAAGACATTAGTTGGAATAAAATTGCCTCTCTCCCTTCAGAGAGTTTTGTCAGTAACATCTATGATACCTCTTGCACATTTTCACTTTTTCTTTCATATGCTGTGAACATTTGGGGGCATTCAGACTGGTTTTGATGTCCTTTAAAAAATCCTAAAACAAATTTAACCACGAATGGTGGATGTTTTCTTTAGAATGAGAGGATATTTGTCTGTATTTGCTTCAATTTGAGGACCTAGTTGGCTACTTTATAGTAAAGGTTAAGTAAAGATAAAGTTATAGTAAAGGTAAAGTTGCTCTCAAAACCATGCAAGCTATACCTTGTATTACATTGTATGTGTGTGTTCTTCTTAAAAGAACAAATATCAACATCTGTAAACAGCATTACCAAGAAGCATTGTAATTATTGATGGGTTTCTGAGTAGGTAATAATTGTGAAAGAAATGGTTGCTCCATGTTAAGTTCTATGAGGGGTATTTTCATACTTTATATTACTTAATCTTCACAATATACTTTGATATCAGTGTTACAATCCTCCTCATAGAAAAAGGAAGCAACTAAAATTAAGATGGTTTAAGCAACATGCTCAGGATTTTAAGTTCGTATTGGCCAGCCAAGACTGAAAGTCCTTCTGACTAAATCCATGTTTTGTTGATCTAATTACAATTAATTTATGGAAAACTTTTTAAAGAAGGGCTTTTTCTGTTTTCTGCCCATAAAATTAGTTCTTTGGATGATCCAAAATTATTTTCTAATATCTAGAATTTAGTTATGGAAAAGAAAATTGAAAAATAGCTTATTTAAATTTTAATGAAGTAACTTTTTATTTTTACCAATTTCATCATTTCTTCCTACTCCTAGTATCCAAGCTACTTAAACAAAACCTACCTTATAACCTAATCACCACAATAGAGCACCCTATTCAAATAAGTGGAAACTAAGATGACAAAAATTATCCTTTTATGAGACCTCTCTTTTACATGTAGTGGATTTTGAAATTCTCCTTAAATACAATAGAGAAAGGCAAGAGTTCACCTCCATGACTTAAAGACAAATTTGCTTTCTTGAAATGAATTACTAGTAAGAGTCTACTGCAGCAAAACAGCAGGGTTGGTCCCTTACTTTTGTTTCTGAAGCATAAACAAGTAAATGTTAACATTTTTGTATTTGGTAGTATTTGACTTTTTGTATAAAAATAAAAGATGTTCTGTTCAGCAAATAACATCTTTGAAAAGATTACACAACACATAAAGGCCAGTTTTATTGGATAGTTTGTGGATTTCTTTTTTACTTCTTTACATAATTGCTAAATATTTTCTAAATTTCCCAAACCTATTTTGAACAATGGTGAATAATATCAGGTAGTCTCTTTAAGGTACAAACCATCCAGGCATAGTGGTGCATGCTGTTAAGCTGAGCACTCTGTTAGGATTATTGCAACTTTGAGTCCAAACTAGATAATTTAGTGATTTAGTGAAGCCCTTTCTCAAAATTAAAAATTTTAAAAAACAGAGGTTAGAATATAGCTCAGTTAAAGGCTGTGGGTTCAATCCCCTGTACCAGAAAAAAAAAAAAGAATTAAAAAGGGCTGGGCATATAGCTTAGTATGAAGGCCCTGGTAAAGAAAGAAAAAGAGAGAAGGAAAGAAGGCAAGAAAGAGAGAAAGAGAGAAAGAGAGAGAGAGGAAGGAAGGAAAGAAGGAAAGGAAAGAGAGAGAGTGAGAAAGAAAGGAAGAAAGAAAGAAAGAAAAGAAAAGAAAAGAAAAGAAAAGAAAAGAAAAGGAAAGAAAAGAAAAGAAAAGAAAAAATAAAAATCAGAAAGTGTTACTAACGGCTATAGTTTGTAAAAGTGTTACCAAAAGTTCATGTGTTGAAAAGGCTTGGTCCCAGCCCCTGATGTCCATTAGGAAGTAGTGCCTAGCGGAAGTATTGCCAATGAAAGGTCTTTGGGTTATGGGCAGCATGCCCTCAAAGGAGATTTTGGACCTGGCCCCTTCCTCACTCTTTCATTTCTCAGGCATGAGGTTAACGACAATGCTGTACCACATGCTTCTGCCATAAACCAAAAGCAACAGAGCCAACCAATCATGGATCATAACCACCAAAACTGAACCAAAATAGAACCTCTTTATCAGTCAATTATCTCAAGTATTTGTTATGGCAATGTAAATTTGACTAGCATACTTCCAAAGAAATTCATACTTCAAAAATAGTAATAGAAAAACCATTTTATTCAGGTTTCCAGTGAACTCATATAACACCAAATATAGTCCATTCTCAGAATAAAAATGTAATTTGCAAAATTGAAAAGACTCAACAATATCAAATGGCTTATTAGAAAACTATGTAACCATTACTATAGTTGGATCTAGAATTTTTTTTTTCTGAGAACCACATCAGAGAGTGTCCTAATTATTATTTCGGTTCTCAAATAAAATTTTAAAAACTGATTGGGGGGAAGACTTATTTACTCTTTCTGTTGTTTAATCTTTTGGTCCTAGTTTTTCAAGATTCCTTTCTTTTTCATTACATTTATCGGTATATTTTAGGAATACAATACAGTTATATTCATCATTGAGATCTTGTACCTTTTTAAAAATTAATTTTATTGGTACATTTTAGGTATACAATATAATGACATTCATCTTTGGAAATTTGCACCTTTACATAATCTTTCTTGGTTCCTATTTTTTCCCCATTCCCCTGCCCTCCCTTCACCCCCTCCTTTTTATTATTTCCTGTCCAGAGAAATTCCATTAGCCATTTTTTGATGGTTGATCTTTTGGAGACAAATTCTCTTCTCTCTTTTTTTTTAAATTGGGGAATGACTTGATTTCACCTTCATTCTTCAAGTGTATTTTGCTAGATAGTGTCTGTCACTTTTTGAGTTGACAATTCTCTTTAAGCACTGTAAAATTGTGTCACTTCTGGCCTCTGTGATTCCTTAGGAAAACCCACTGTAATTCAAATTATTTCACCACTGTAAAGTCCTTTTCCTCTTAACTACTTTTAAGATTTTTTGGTAGTCTTTTGTTTTCTGAAATTTGAACTATAGTGAATATGGTATGAAATTTTTAGTTGCAGCCTGTTTGACGTGTAATGAATTTATTAAATCTATAGATTTCTTTGTTATCAAATTTTAGGAATTTTCAGCCCTTCCTGCTTTAAATATTTTTTCAGCCTCAGATTCGTCTTCTATTTTTATTCAGTTTTTTAAGATAATAAATGTTCTATATACAAAGAATTTCCTTTCCCATTCCTTCCTGATGCCATTAAAAATCACATACTTTTTTAAGCGCGCTGGTCCCCTAGGAAGCTTTTTCAATGCTGTTACAGTTGGAGGGTCCTTACTTTTTTGGATTACTTTCAGTGACTCTGGGATCCTTCTTCTCCTTTCCTCTCCTCTGTGTAGTTCCTTACAGATGGATATTCAGCATTCCACTAAGACTTTGTGACACAAGCTTGATATTACTTTGCTAGAAAGTACTGTTTCTTTTTTACTTAGAAGTTAGGGTGTTATTTGTAGGTGCATCCATGTGTTTTTGTAGGATGTGTAGAGATTCCAATTTAAGCAGCCACTATTATCTCACCTACATGGAAATTTTGGTCAGTATTATTCTACATTTTAATTAGGATTTTAATTAAAAGAAGTTATGCATGTAGGCTGGGAATTTAGCTCAGTGGTTCTGCCGCCTGCCTCGCAAGTGCAAGGTCCAGAGTTCAATCCACAGTACCAAAACAAAAAAACAAAACAAAACAAAAAAACATGCATTTGATTTGTTTAAGGCCAGGGATTTAGCTCAGTGGTTCCGCTGCCTGTCTCACAAGTGCAAGGTCCCAAGTTCGATCCCTGGTACCAAAATAACTAACTAAATAAAATTTAAAAATTAAAAAAAAAAGAATGTATGCATGTGATAAAGTACAAAAAACTTGTGAAAAGTTGTAACCAATAATGTAAAAATGATATGTGAACATTCTAAATAGATATTCAGTATATATGTATGGCATTTTCATGTATATGTATATATGAACACATATACATGTATGTACACAGTACAACTTTATATGTGTATTACACAAATGAGCACATAGAATGCACATTGTTCAGATATTCAATTATTTCTTTAGCATGTATTAAATTTTTAATTTGTATATGTCATTTTTTTCTCGTTTTTTAGTGACTATATGGCATTTTATGGAATCATGTTAAACTTATATAAACATTGCTATCTTTATTTTTAATTGTAATTTATTTTTCATTAATGCCTATGAACTTGAAGTAGTAGTTGCTAAATAGCTATTAAAAATTATATTCAGATAGCTTTTATGCTTCCTATAAATATATGTATTGTGTGTGTAGTGATGTAAGTTTATACTTCGAAAGCAAATCTTGTTTCAATGTTTATTATAAAAGCCTTGCTAATTTAGTAGTGATGCTATCCTTGGTTGTACAGGTGTACATTTGTAAACCTTCATGCTGTAAATGGAATTTGTTTTATCTCTTTGGGAAACATTTGCATTTTAGTGTACATTTATGTCTTTGCCCTCTTTGACCTGGAAATATAGTGTTGTATAATGTAAATTTCTCCAAATCAAGAATGATTTTTAAAAATTTTTATCTTTATATGGTTTCAGAAGTATGAACCAACTTTCTTTTAATTGTTGTGAAAAAAATTAATTTTGTAACAACTATTTTATAACATAGTTGTTCACTGTTAATATGGACATGCTAGGATTTGGGTCACTTTTAAGAAGTCAGGGTATTGTGTATAATAGAAAGTGTTGGGCTGAGATATTTGGTTACCATGGAAGCCAATGCTTTTTCCATCTTGTTAAATGTGATGTGACTTTTTTCTTTGTACAGAAGAGTACTGTATTTTTGAATAGCGTACTCCCAAGTAAGAGCAAATCTGAATGATACCTTTTTTTCCTCTGGACATAAGACATTATTACAGTAACATGATGTACATTTACAAGTGGTCTTATGTACACTTCCCAACAATCTTTTTAAGGCAAAATTGTGACCATATGTGTATGATTAAAATCGTTTTTAATCCTTAAAAAATTATATCACTAACATTTATTGACAGATAAAGATGTTCATATCATTTGTATAAGCAAGTTATGAAATAGTACACATTGATATAAAATATCATTTTTGAAAAACAATATATACCTTTCTACTTTTACATAGCCATAGTTATGAAAAAATGATAAGCATCAAGCTATAAATTATGATTCTTTCTGGGTAATGAGATGATGGTTAATTTCCTTAATGGTTCCATAGTGAAAGTGTATTGTTTGGAAGAAAGTAAATACTGCTCTATCATTTAAAAAAACTCTAATACTAGCCAGGCATTTGAATGCCTGGCTAAAAATGAAATGCTGCATCTTTGAAAAAGATACGCTTCTCAAAACAATTTTTTTTAGGTCAAGACACTGAGGAAGCAGGGAGCTCCATGTCCACACTGGAGAGGTCACTGGCTGCACGCAGAGCCACTCGCGCTAAGCTCATGATTCCGATGGAGGCCCAGGCCAACAATCCAGGTGAGTGAGGCTTGGAGACACAATGAAGAAATGAAATGCTCTCTGTGAGTACTTTTCTATAAAATGTCAAAATATCAGAAATAATTAGGATTTTCTCTGAACTATCTAGGCAAAGAAAAATAATGACTAAAATCATACATTTCTAATTAGAAGTAATAATGTTTACTCTGTTCTTGTATTTTTGTATACAGTTGAATGTCTGTTGGCAAATACAATGCTATGTATTTAAGAAATGAGATGCCAATTTATGTAAAAGAAATTGTAATTTCTCAGTATTATGGATTCTATTCCTTCATAACTTTATTTTTTTACTTCATCACGTCCAACTTTTATTCTTAAATAATCTAGCTCCCTTGAAGCAAGTGTTGTCAGACATTTACTTACTACCTCCTCTTTGTTGAAGGTTTCTGTCATCCTCCACGTTCACTTAAGATATTAGTATCTAGGGATCACTTCCTTTCCAATTACTTCTATGATCAATCTTGGTAATTACACTATTCATACAGGCAATCCATCTGATACTCTGGACTGTTAGTTCCTTTTGTTACCTGCAGTGATTTTGGCTCCTTCCCATCCCAGTTCATCAATTCCATGTCATACCAAACCAATACAAAGTGTCAGTTTCTATCATCTTCCTTTCTATCACATTACTTTTAGATTTCTGCTCACTTATTTTATTTCCCCCTTGCTAACAGTTCTTCAATCCTTTTAGAGCCTCCAGTTCACTAACTGGGCCACCTTCTCACTGTATTCCATCTCCTTCGTGTCCTCATTTCTCTCTCAACACAACTTAGAATCTATAGTTATTTATTATCTTCTGTCTCATCTTCCTTGGTCCTCTTTTCCCATCTTACCTTAAAAAAAAAAAAGTTCAACTCTGGTTAAATTAGCAACTCCACCAATTCTTACCTTGTGCCCTCTTAGCCAAATGTGTCTGGAGTGGAGCTCCAATCCTGCTCACTGAGTATGTGTGACCACAAGTCCAGTGGTAGATCTCATGTGTTTGGAAAATGCCACTGCATTTCTTTAGTAGTTCACCATTTCATTTTATAAAATGAATGTTTTCCGTTTATTCTGACTTTTCAGACTTCAATACCTCTCACCATCCATCATTCTTAATGACTAATCTTTCTCCTTATCTCACCAAGAAGAGAGAAGCATTCAGAAAATAGTATTCTTATCTTTGCATCAGATCTAATTGACCTGTCTGAGGATCTTATTGCTGTCCCTTCTCACTCACTTAAGCATTCCTGTAATTATCCCTTCCCTTGCATGCAGAACTAGTCCTGCCTGCTTATCGATTACCCATTAGCATACAAATCTTACTATTCGTTCCTAACTCTAGAGAGTTTTAAAACACTCTCTTGATACCACATCTCCCTCTACCTCCAGCTCTTTTCATCTCTTTTATTGAAAAATTTAAGTGGTCTGAACATACTTCTTGTCTTTGTAATCTTTATTAGTTTTGATGAGATTTTTCACAATCACTCATGGTTGCCTATGTTATCAGTATCTCTAAATATCAAATGAAATGATCAAATCTGTTTTTCCACAAAATTTGGGATAGATTCCCACATTTTTTTCTCAAAGACTTCCTTCCCTTGGCTTGTAATATTCTGAAGGCCTCCAGTTTTCTTCCTTTCAGTGGGGTACTCCTCCTCAGTATCCTTCACTTGTTCTCATTGTTTCTATTGATCTCTTAACAGTCACAGAGTTCACCCAAGGCACAGGCTTTAAACTTCCTCTCTTTCTGTCTACACTAGTATCATAGAGAGTGTCACATAGGAGCAATGGCTTAATGCTACCTAACTGCTAGTGCCTCTCAAACTGTATCTCTCTCATCTTTTCCCAGAGTCCATATCAACTTTTAATCATCTGTCAACTCAGCCTCTCCAAATGGATAATAGGCACAACAGCTGTGCTCAAACCAGCAATTATTCTTTTCCATAAACCCCTAGCCCCACTTCCAAACCTAATCATTGTGCTGTTTTCCTCATTTCAAGAAATGGTGCCATTGTTAATTCACTCACTCTGATCAGAAACTCTCATTTCATGTTCTTGATTATGATTTCCTCCCCTCCCAAATTCAATCTTTAACTAAATCCTATACTTTCTGTTTTCAAAATTTGTCCCAAATTAGACCACTCCTTCCCATCCTTACTGCTTAGCCTTTAGCAAAGTCATCACCATCTCTTATAGAGTACTAGACCATGGTAATTTACTTATAAGTAGTTTCTTCTTTAGCTCTAGCCCCTCCAATCAGTGTAGTTAACTACACTGCAGCCTTCCAGTATATGTAGTCCAACATGTTACTTTTCTGTCACTTCCCCTCCCATACAGAACAGCAGTATTACCATGTTATAGAAGGCCCTGTGAGATCCACCTCTGTGCTTATCTCTCACCTCACTTACAGATACTTTTCAAGTACCCTCCCTCCTCTCTCTTCCTTGGACAGTACCTTCCACCTCAGGGACTCTGCACTTGCTGTTCTCTTTGCCTGGAATCTCTTTTTGCAAGTATTTACATGGCTCATCCTTTAAGTCATTCAACTTTTGTTGAACTTGCTGTCTTTATAAGCAGGTCTTCCCTGACCATTCCCAAACAAAGCATCTCTGGTCTGTCTGCCCTTCTTCATCCACTTCATTATTTTATTAATGCATATCACCATCTTACTTGCATTTTGTGCTTGTTTATTTATTTGCTTCCCACATTTTCATGTATGCCCTCTATGAGGGCAGGTATTTTGCTTGTTTTGATCACTTTATATCCCCAGGGCTCACCTGACACTTGGTGGACACTCAATATAATTTCCCAGAGAAGTGAATGAAGAGTTGTTAGTTTCTAATTAGTACTATATGTCCTGCCTCCCCTATGCTCTAATACATCTTCTCTCAATTTTATTATAATAATTACAAAAGCATGGATGGCATATACAATGAATGGCAACTTTTCAGCTCATAGAGGAGACACTATTATTATGCTTGGCTTACTGAAGAGGGAACTAAGGCTTAGAGAGATTAAGTAACTAGCTTTCAGTCACACAGCTAGTAAAAAATAGAGCCAGAATTTGGACTCAGAAATCTGGTTTCAGAGTTCTGCATGCTTTTTCTTTATTCTCCCAACTGAAATACTTAGCATTAAGCTACTGTCCTTTATCTTTGATAGCTTTCACTACATAGAGATACTATGCCCTTAGCTGCCTCCTCTAGCCACTTTCCTCTTGTAACTAAGTTCTACCTGTACCAATCTTCTACAGCTTTTTTTCTCAAAAATGACCATTATTAAGTATCTTTGCAGGACCTTTCTCTCCCCTAGGTAACTTCCCCATCCAACAGGTTCCCATATCCTATTGATTTTTCTGTTATCTTTTTTTTTATTTTTTATTTTTGGCCATAACGGGGCTTGAACTCAGGATTGTGCTTGCAAGGCAGGTGCTGTACCACTGAGCTAAATCCCTGGCCCTGTTACAGAATCTTTTGAATTCCTAGCTATCTACTTATTCTAATATTTTCTTCTGTTGTTTATACTGGCACCTGAACCGCCAAGATAGCTCCATAATTAGTCTTTCTGTCTCAAGTATCTTCTAGGTATTATGTATCCCACTTGCAAGATTTCTTCCTTAAACAAGTTCCACAAGGTATTGCACTGTATGAATTTGTCCAGTTGTTCCTACTATCAAGATAAAACAAATTAAAAAAGCACTACAACCTCTTTAGCAAAGCAGATTGAAATCCTCTTTCTTACAGCTGGTCCTAATATGTACCCCAGTTCTTGCCAGGTCCACAAATGTATTAAGTGTGTTCTAATTGTCAGTCCACCAATGTGCATTGCCCTTCACTTGTTTTTCTCTCTGCACACATCTTCACTTTTGGAATGAGTCAGTGGAAGCCCAACCTAACAATGTTTCCTGTCTTTACTCCATCTAGATAATGATAACTCCCCTTTTCATATTTGATTAACGGTATTTTATTCACTTTTGTGGGTTTTATGTACTGCCTTACTGCTCAGATATTCAAGTCCAAATATTTCCTCTTCTAACAGGTTGTAAATTACTTCATAATAGGGCTGTAATGTATGCAATTCATCTTTGTGCTAGGTACTAAGCTATGCAATATGTGGATACAAACTGGTGCTTGCTAAATATCTATCAAATGAATGAATAAGTAAGTACATTATAAGAATGCCTTCCAGTATTTGTAACACATCAGTTTTTCAGGATTTTTTTTATAATCAGCCACAGATAGAACAAACATCTTCTAACCTTTTTGATATGTCAGTTAAAATTATTTTCATTAAACATTTTAAAAGGTTTAGAAATAGCAATGAAATGGAATCTAACAAGTATTAAGAACTTTTGAACATCATTCGCTTAGTAAATATCTTGCTAATTATAATTTCATTTATTTCTTGTAATATTATCATAATTGTTCTTATTGTTTCCATGAGAAAAAATGGTCTTGAACTGAAACAATTCATTCCAGAATACACCAGGGTATTCTCTGAACCTCTAGGTTATACTGCTTTTTCAAAGGTAAAGATGGATGTTGGGCCTATTATTCATAACTTTTTTATTTTTAAATGATTTTTCAAAGTAGCATCTGTACCTTACAAACATGATAACTAAGGTACTGAGACTCTGAACCTAAAGCCTGTGTTCATTCTGTCCTCTTACTGTGCTATCTCATATTCTCATCTAAAGCTCAGAGTTTCTTTATGCCCAATGTAGCAAACCTTGTCCTATTCACAGTGTCTCAGTCTACTTGAATAAGGCCCATAAAATGGCTGGAAATTGAATTTTCTTACTTTTAATTATTAAATAATTCATGTACATGGTTTTGAATTGTTACATAGTTTTAACAAAATGTATTCTAACCAAATTATTCTGTTCTATTCTGAAATATAACACACACACACACACACACACACAATGGTATCTCGGTTCATGAATTTAATTCATTCCTTGATTCTGGGGAAGATGGCCACATTCGTGTCCTTGTAGA